GGACTTTCCTGTTTCGAGGATTGGCAGCACGTGTCCCAATGCAGCAGCTGGCGCGCAGTAAAAAGCATGGAGGACTAAAACTGCAATTGCCAGCGATCAAGTGCAAAGCGCTTCTCGTCAATCGCCATCTTCAAGAGATCGATTCCCTTCCCCACTATCAGTCCCTTCTCGCCCAAAATATTCCTTTCCCTGCCGATCTTCCCTGCCTAAAACTCCTCTCTCAGCAATATTCCTTGTATCCCCACCACATCCAACAAAACCCCACCAGTGATCAAATTCACCGCTTCTATCTGGAGCAAACCGAGATACCAAAAGTGGAACGGAACCAGCCAATCCTGAACTGGAAGAAGATATGGGCAAACATTTCAGCAAGAAGACTGTCATCGAGCCAGCGCAGCGATCTCTACTTGTTAGTGAACGAAAAAACGGAGCACCGCAGACTGATGAACATCATCGGCCGTGCAAACGACCCACATTGTCAGCACTGCATGGTGGTCACCGAATCTTTGCAACACAAGTTCAGTGAGTGCCGCGGCATGGGCGTACGTGCAAGGAAGGATGACGGTGACTCTCGGTGGGTGGCAAAGGCCTACGTTCGAAGACCTTCTACGCCCGATCCTGGGTACAATTGCAACAGAGACAAGAATCAATTTACTTAAAATTTTCATAAAATACATCAACTTTATTAATGCCAATATTAATAGTAGAATCGATGTAGGTGAGCTAGAGTTTGTTCTAAATCTAGAAGAATAATTAAATTTTGTATCTGTTTGAATGTGTTATTTATTATTGAAAACTAAATAAACAATATTTTTACAAAAAAAAAAAAATACCTTTGGTTACCAAATCTCCCATGATCATTTTCTTCTTGATTATTGTTGTAACGTCCCCGGTTATTGTTGCTACTGGTGTTTCCCCTGAAATTACCATCGTTGTTACCGAAGTTACTATAGTTATTACCCCGATAATTATTTGTATTGGAATTATTGTATCTATTTCCCCGATTATTATCGTGACTGTTGTTCCAGTTGTTGAAACTGTTTCCTCGATAATTATTGTTGTTGTTGTTGCCGTTCGAATTATTATCGTTATTCCGTTGATAATTTCGACCATTTTCATAATTATTACTACTAACTGTATGATTGTTCCTATTGTTAACGCTTCCATTTGGTCGCGTATTATTTGTTGTACTTCTAGCCCACGTGGGGTGAAGTCTTTTGTGTATGTCCCTTAATTCTTCTTCTTCTTCATATTCACGTTGAAGCCAATCCAACAATTCTGGAAATGACTTGTCCCTTTGCGATTTTCCCGCTAGGGATAATGCTCGACTCCTGAGACCTCCTAGAAAATGTCTCCATGTTCTGGTAGAGCGCTGACATAGCGGTAAATTTTCCTCGCTCGGTTCTTGTATTCTTCGAACGATTCACGTTCCCCTTGATCCAGGGTTTCAATCTCCTTGATGATTGATCCTATATTTTTTTCTATTTGTTAAGCCTTTTCCAATTTCTCTTTTACTTTCTCCCACTTGGTGTCCTGTATGTCCTGGAGTCGCATAAGGGCTTCTCCGCTCAATTTTGTATACACCACATTCAACAAAGGCTCTTGGTTCCCGTTTTCTGGGATTCCTTTTGCGAAGTAATCTATTTGAATTAGGAAGGGCCGAAGCTCTTCCGGTTTCCTATGGAATTCCGGAATACATTGTATAGCGGTTACCATTGGGAATTCATAATTGACTACTTCTGGCATTGTTAAATTTTCTGCTGAATAACTTTTTTTTCGAAATTAAATGTTGGTACGTTGAGAGTATTATCACAGACAAACAGACATAACACATTGCATATTTCTCACTATAAACCATCGTCGCTAAAACATTACCGCCATCTGTTGAGTAAACTGTGGTGGGCACTACACTGAACAGATGGCGGTAGTGTGTAAACGTCAAACGCAAGAGAATTGACTATGCGCGCCACAGGTGCTGGTACTACCAACTACGATACTTTTAAGTTGTCCGTTAAATGCTTGTTCGATGAACAACTTGCTAGAGTTATGTCTGTTTGTCTGTGGTATTATCACTCTCTAACGCCCTTCTCGTGTTTCTTAGAGAACCAAGTGGTTTTGGGTTCTTTTTCCCTTTACTATTTTCTTGGATGATAGCGCGGTTTCATTCAACATTTTAACGCACTCTTCAATTTGAAATTGAACTGCAATTAGATTATCTGCAAGTTCATTCCAATCGTCAGTATTGCCCCTGTGTTGTAACTTTTGCACATTAGCCTCAAATTTTATACCGGATTCCTTTAATTTGTGAGTTTTTTCGAGAATGCCTCTCAAAGATCTAGGCCTTCCTTTACTTTTTTGTAGGTTTATAAATTTTCTATTCACCTCCTTCCTAATGATCTCACATTCGTCCCATAAATTCGTCATTTATGGTCGAATGAGTTTCATAAAATCTACAAGTGGATACTGCCATTTCATCACTATAGTAATATTTGATAACTCAAAGAAAATATTCGTGTATAATTGCTTTACAGCAAGTAGAAAATGCTTTTACCTCACTTACCCTTCAAATGACGGTTTCATTCCGGTTGATGGTTGGATATTCAGGAAAACTCCAATGTTCAGTTACACCTTGTGTGCTTGTTGATGGTGTCGTACGTTGCAAGAAAAGATTCACTTTGCACCCACTTTTTTTTCTGATTCTTCTTTTTTTTTCAATTTTCGGCCTGTTCCCAGTTTCGAACAATCACTTTGCACACACTTTTTTTTTCTGTTTTCTTATTTTTTTCACTTTTCGGCCTGTTTCGACCAATTGGTACAAATATTTTCTATCAAAACCTGTACCTTTTTGTACCTCACTTGTGAAAAAAAAAACCTTTCCACTTTCCACTGGCGGTTCTTCAACACCACTATCGTTTGCTCGGGATCTTGCCCTAAAATTTTTCACTTTTCACTTTTCACACTTTTCGCGGGGAAATGCACCAGTCAGAAATGGCTCCCTTTTCGCGGGGTGTCGAGTACCGCTGTCACCAGATGCGTGGCCGGCGGTCATCAAAAAAACTACCCGACACTGGTTTAGATACAACAAGACAACCCAGCTTTATTCACTCATTTTACTTATATAGACCCTAGCATGCTTCTCTTGTACTAAAAAGAAGTTCATTCTACACGCTATTCTCTCAGAGCCACATGCTGGTGAGAGAAATAACAAAACAACCTGCTATGGCGCGCGTTGCGCTGTTGTGTGAACTTGAAAAAACTGCTATCCTTGGCAGAAGCCCGCGCTCGGGGTACCATTGGTATGCCCTAGCTTCTTTCTTAATTGTATAACTCTAGGTCACTGTCTGTGACATAATGTGACGGCCCATGATAAAATGCAAAACATGGAACGGGGGCCGTCTCACCCTATCTACCCTGAAAATATGTAAAACCCGGAACCAAACACCCTGTATATATATATATATGAGCTGCGAGTGCTATGAAATAAAAGAGACATTATTTGCTTATTACCACTACCTACTTCTCTCCCTTCCGCTCACAGAATTCGCCGATTCGGTGTCTCTCGTTGTGTTTTCTGCTGTGACTGAGCAATATACGATACCGCAAAACATCTCCGCAGTTATGTTTTCTTTCGGTGCAGGAGATGTGCGGTAATTGAAAGTTAAGAATGTAGCTCAACATTTACAATAACATTCTATCAAATTTTCATGTGCGTAGTCCACTGCAACAGCCGAACGAAGGAACGAATAGGGTGACCATAGCACATTTAAAGAAAAAGTCACAAATGGCTGTTTTAAATCAATAATTACGAAGAAACCATAAAGCCTACAAGGTTACTACCAAAGGCACAAATCTAGGGAGAATGTTTTATAGAACAACTAAATTAACAGTAATGAAAATTTTCAACTTAATAAAAACACTAAAATGCATGAAATTTCACCAGTTTTTTTGGTACTTTCAACATACTTTTCAATTTTAATGTATGATAATTAATTTTAATCGAGTTCTTTACTAAAGAGCATTGATAGTTAAGACTTTAATCTTTCATTTGGTATGTTTGAATCAGAAAACCACATTAAGATTAAAAAAATATAGCTAACCAAAGTTGGCAACAAAAAAATAGAATGTTGAAACTCACTTAGCAGTCATTTCTGACCCTATGTTTCATGGGGTTTTTTCATAACTTTAGGAGCCCTATCTACCCTGAAAATATGTAAAACCCGGAACCAAATTTATATATATATATATATATATATATATATATATATATATATAAATATATATATTTGGTTCCGGGTTTTACATATTTTCAGGGTAGATAGGTTTTTCCGTTCTGGCGGGCCAACCACAGTTACAATAGGATTTATACCTGAATCATAACGATTAATAATAGCATTGCCGAGAACCAGCCATATCAACATGCATCGATAAGCTGTTTGCAGCGTTGGGGTTTTGTCAGTTAACAATGCGCACCAAAACAATAGTTGAACAAATGTCGATAGCACGATCGAAGCCGAGAGATACAACTGCTGCTGAGTCAACAACTGAAAGCGAACTGAGTGTAATATTACGTTGTACGATGTGTCAACAAATTTATATCTATTGGAGGCGAACCAGCTTCAGGCTGAAAGCCTCCTAAATAAAGATAAATCAATCAATCAATTTATATCTACCTATGTAATTTTGGGTCACTTTTTGGAAATAAATTGATACATCATCTTGAATTGCGTCTGAGAGGCGATCCATTTTCCACGCTAAATTGAGGAAAAACTAATACCCTCCCCCCTTTCGTGACGTTTTTCCTATACTTAATGCATTGCTTGTCACAAAATCATAAACCCCCCTCCCCCTTAGAGCGTAACATAATATGTGCATGACCCCTGATCAGTTTATATTTGTTGTGCTGTGTAGAATGTTATCGTTTCGCGGGTTTAGTGCTGGCGCTTCTATAATATAATTGCTGCTTGAAATATTTAACCATAATAATTAATTTTTATTTGTAGCCGTCTTCCTTACTGGATGCAATCGTTTTGTCCTAAGGTTTTCTATATTGTGGAGAAAGGATGGAACTACTATCCATTCACAATGACTGGTACGTAAGCCATATGTAAGACATTTGTTTGGAGTAATATATTTTTTTTCTCTCTATTATTGCACGCTGATTGATCAGAATACACAGTGAGTATATCAAGTCAATGTATTAGTTTATTCTATTTGTACAATATAAATAAACATACGAGATGCCATCAACGCACAGTGAAGAAATTAAAATGAACTGAACCTGAACAGAAGTCCAAAAATACATATTCATTTTATTTTGTTGTACTCAGTTTATTTTAGAGTTATTTTATACGCACCATCATCGTTTGACAGCCCATTCAAAAGTTTCATGTACTCTAATGTAAGAAGAGTGACGACATGTCAACATTGGAGCAAGCAATGATTTGTAAACTGCTTGGAAAACGTCATTCCCATCGAGCAGAAGACTTGTCAAATGGATGAGATGCCGTCACTCTAAATGCATGCACACTATTTTACTCTTATTACAAGAGGTTAGAATCAATTGTATTTGAGCATCCTTTTTTATTGTTGTAATGCCGCGAATACACTTGTATGAAAAAACTATGAGCATGAGCATTATTTGTATAGTAAAATTCAAGCTCATCCCTGTTTTTGCAGCAATTGGTTAGTTTTTGTATAGTGCTCATAGTTTATTACACAAATAATGCTCATGCTCATAGTTTGTCATACAAGTGTATCCATGCCATAACGCTTACATATCGTAATTTAACGTTAATTGTTCACGGTGTTGTCGCGTGATTTTAAATCAAAACCGATATGGAGATTATTGAAGAAAGTTAGATGATTCCATCTGTATATTTGGAATGCAAATAATTGGATTTGATATACACTCAAAAAATAAATCACATTTCCGATGGAAAATATCCATTAGAATTGCACATAACTTTCATTTGATCTCATGATTGGAATCGCACCACGAAATCACATAAACCTTATGTGTCCAATGAAGTTTATGTGATTTATCACATAGAATCCATGTGATCATATGAATGTTATGTGAATTTCCGGTAAAAATAATTAATTTTGTTATTGGAAAAATATCATGTGCGAAACTATATGAAAACTTTTTTCAGTGTATGTTTTTCCTTGATTTGTTTTCCGTCGATCTTGTTTTCCGTGCTGAGCACCAATGCTACCGACGAGGCAGCTCCCACACCTGGACCCTACCCATCAACTCATGAACCGGGGACCAACGGCTTTATTTCCATTCCGAAGGAAGGCGTGATCAGAGATGTTATGCCTCAGAACATCCCGGTGGCACCGACTTGGATTGAACTCAAGCCTGCTGTGGTGAGAGGTAATCACCCTTACCACTACACCACCGACGCCGCTGTATTATCCAAGTTGAAATTATGAGTTAAATTCATGAATTTAACTTTTAGCTTTTAAACCAAAACATGTAAAAAAATAAATAAAATAAAGTACTAGATCAGCCTGGATTCGAACCAAGAACCTTGCGATCATTAAACCCATGCATCAGCACTTGTATAACATGGAAGGCAAAAGGCGTATAAGAGATACCTATGTAGTGCTTTTTATGAACACGGTTTGCCAGGTACGTGTAACGCTTGTAGCGGTCATGATTCCACTACATTATGAAGTCATGAACTTACATCACAAAATCATGATTAATTGCTATTTTATTAGATGGCAAGTTTTTTCATTGTTTAACGTTTCATGAAAATAGAATCGGATTTGTTCCCGTGTAGGTACTACTGACTACATACATAACAAACATCCCTAACAACAAACATCCCTAACAACAAACACCATACCTGATAACGCAACACACATATATACACACAGATAAAGGGTGTCCACGATGAAATTGCCACACACAAAATTGATTCGCAAAATTCGAGTTTTCATCCGATTGCCATCAAATTTTCAGGGATTGAGAAATAACTATTAAACTTCATTTTACCATTTTACTCGTATTTTATTTACAGTCCATACGCAAATGCCCGCACCTTGGCCTTAACCCCGGCCATAAGATTCTGCACAACCTGTGAATCAACCGTTTTTTGCATGTAAACCCATACTTTCTTCAGTTCCTCGACTGTCTTCACTACCTTAGATCGTTTAAGGCCATCGTTCGGACATTTTGAGCCGTTTGTCTGTGATTTGGGTGGTTTTCCAGGAAACGTCCCGAAAATCCTGTGAAGGAAAGCGAATATCGGGAAACAAATTCCGTCCGATTGTAGCCAAGGATTTTGTTTTCCTAGTGGGGTAAAATTTGGGTGGAAAAGTGCATTCAACTTCAAGTGGTGTGCTTTTTCCAGGAAAGTGGCATTTCCACCCAAAGAGAATATGCACGTGAGTGTATATGTGCGCGCAAGGAAATGCAATCTTACGCCTATGTTTTCCCGGGAATTTCCCAAAAAAGTATACCATATTTTTATACCAGGACATTCTGCAGACTATGCACAACATGATGGTATACATAAACATATGATTTTCGAAAATTTGTAGCATGGTTTTTCAATTTCCAAACCATGCGCCAAACATTCTCGCTGTAAATTCGTCACGAACATAGTAAAGAAGCAATCAGCAATTACGCATTTGTTTTACCACGTTGCCACATTTTCTTGTTCGTAGGTCCACGAGTCCTTTTTCGCTAGTTCGCTCATCATATCAAATTGATCAGGAATTCTTCCGAATGTTAAAAATTATATCGAAGACGTACGACGGATCCGAAATTGAAATTGAGATCTCCATATATTCTTTCATCATATCAAACTGAACAGGAGTTCTTCAAAATCTTATCTTATCTATCGAAGACCGACGACTTATCGGGAATTGAAATCGAATCCTGCATATTCCCTCATCACATCAAATTGATCATTAATTCTTCCGAATAATCAGAAATTATATATAAAACGTATGACTAATCGGAAATTGAAAATTAGTTCTCCATATATTCCACCAACACATCAAATTGATCATAAATCCTTCTGTAGACATTCGGGCAGTTAGAATATTTTTCAAAATACAAGGATGGTCAAAAATTCTTCCAAACTATCAGAAGTTATATGGAAACCCTTCGATTGATTGCAAATTGAAATCAAATTCTCCATTAATTCCTTGATCATATCATATTGGAATTATCAGGAATTATTCCGAATAATAAGAAATTATATCGGAAAATGAAATCGAGTTCTCCATATGTTCCCTCATCACATCAAATTGATCAGGATTTCTTCCAAATTATCAGAATTAATATCGAACACGTATGACTAATTGGAAATTGAAATTGAGTTCTCCATATATTCCATCAACATAACAAATTAATCAGAAATCCTTCTGAAGAACTTCGGGCAGTTCGAATGTATTTCAAAATACAAGGATGATCAGGAATTATTTCGAAATTTCACCGAATTATCAGAAGTTATATGGAAACCCTATGACTGATTGGAAATTGAAATCGATTTCACCATAATGTGTACCCTATGTACCATATCAAAGTGTTCAGAAATTCTTCCGGATTATCAGAAATTATATTGAAGGTCTTCGACTAATAGAACAATTGCAACCAAGTTTCCATATATATCTCAATCAAATCAGGTTGATCAGGAATTCTTTCAAATTATCAGAAATTATAAAAAAAAACTTCCTGATCAGAAATTAAAATCGAGTTGTCATTATGCCCTTACCATATCAAATTGATCAGGAATTCTTTCGTGTGACCAAAAATTGTATCGAATACCTACGAATGGTGGGAAATTGAAATCGAGTTTTATCAGGACATCTTCCGAATTATCAGAAATTATATCGAAGACCTACGACTGATCGGAAATTGAAATCGAATGATCCATATACACCCTAGCAAAGTGATAATGAATTCTTCCGAATTATCAGAAATCATATTCTGGGCCTTCGACTTATAGAAGAATTGTCATCGATTTTTCCATATAGGTATATCTTTATCATATCAGGTTGATCGGCTATACTTCCGAATTATCAGAAATTATATCGAACACATACGGCTAATTGGAAATTAAAATTGAGTTCCCCAAATATTCCATCATCATATCAGATTTATAAGGAATTCTTCCGAATCAGCAGAAATTATAAAAAAGACCAATTACTGATCGGAAATTGAATTCGAGGTCTTTGAATATTTCCTCATCATATCAAAGTGATCAGGAATTCTTCCGGATTATCAGAAATTATATTGAAGGTCTTCGACTAATAGAACAATTGCAACCAAGTTTCCATATATATCTCAATCAAATCAGGTTGATCAGGAATTCTTTCGAATTATCAGAAATAATTTAAAAAAAAAACTATTTCTGACCAGATATTGAAATCGAGTTCTCCTTATTCCATGACCATATCAAATTGACAAGGAATTCTTCCGAATTATCATACATTATATCGAAGGCTTACGACTGATCGGAAATCCAAATCGAGTTTTCCATATATTCCTTCATCATATCAAAGTGATCAGGAATTCTTCCGAATTATCATATATTATACCGAAGCCTTCGATTAAAAAAAGAATTGAAGTCGAGCTCTCCATATATATCCTTTTTCCATCAAATTGAATAGAAATTGTCAGTTGGTCAGTAAGAATGTATTTACAAAATGTAATAATGATCAGGAATCATATAGAAGACTTTCAAATAATCAAAAATTTGTTTTAAACCCGTTGAATACTGTCCAACAATGTCAGTTTGATAAATAATTCATTCGAATTATCATAAATGATACGAAGACCTACGATCGGAGCCATGTAGACGATCTTCAAATAATCTTGAAATAAAACCATTTGAATATTCTTACATCATATGAGATTGGTTAGGAATTCTTCCGAATTATAAGAAATTATTTCGAGGACTTCCAACTTATAGAAAAATTTATATTGTGTTCTCCATATATTCGCTTCTCATATCAAGTCATCTTCCGAAGATCTTCGGTCAGTTAGAATGTATTTTCAAAATATAAAAATGGTTAGTCGAAGTCTTTCAAATGATCTTAAATTGAAATTCAATCTTTTGAATATTATCGTCCCATATGAGGTTGATCA